CTGCTCCTGTCTGTGCTCCTGCTCTCTGAAGATGCCGGTCACAGATGCTGGCGAAACATTAGGAAACAAAACTTCCAGAACATGGCCACACAACCCGGAAGACCCACACCAGCCAATTTGTTTCTACTCTGTATCTTAAGAGGGATGCTCCACATCAACATTTTCTTCAAGGCCTGCAGATGGACTAGCAATACATAGGGCAGACTAATTTGTCCAAAGCTGACATGATCTCTTGTGCAGTATCAATACCAGCTGCAGCAGTCACTGGAAAACAACGGAAGAAGGAGGACCAAAGTGAGGAGACAGAATAGAAGGAAAAACTCAAGCCATCCCATATCCACTGAGAAACAATGCACCTCAAATACAGCGGGAATGCTGGGGGAGGCAGGGAGCAAATATCCATTTTTCCCTAAGTCCCCAAGCTTTCTATAATCTGTATAAATAAAAGATTCACTCACAAATCTTAAAAAGAGTTCACTCGTCCAGGTCCAACACTGCCACAGGTGAAAGAGGTTTCCCCTAACCTAGTGCTTCCAGGAATTTCCTGACTGGGAACTCCAAGAATTTCCCCCACACATCTGGAAGCCACCTGATTAAGTTAAGCTAGGACACAAACACATCTGACTGCGTAGGATGAGGAAAAGAAGGGTGGCACTGTCCGTCTCTAATTTCATTTGATTGTGGAAGAGCATCTAAACCATGGCATTCAGCCCAAATTCAAATTCTTACCAGCCCAAAGAACAGACATGGGCTCACAGGCTCTTTCACAACTGAAGAATGCTCTGATGTACTGTATATCCTCACCCCAGTCTCCAGATGAAGTGACTAACATAAATAAACCTATAATCCACAAGTCAGTGTTACAGTTTATCCTCCTAACCTACCTTGAATTGTTTCCAGTTAGAGAAAAGTTTCCAATCTGACTGTTTAAAAGCAGAGTTCAATGCCCTTTGTGGGGACAAAGTCACAGTATCAGCACTTTGCTACAGTATATTCCCAAAGAATCATGAAGAAGATAAAGCAGTTGTTTAGATTTATTTCGACTTAGTTGTCAAGATCAAACCTCAGTCCCAGCAGAGCAAACATGGGAGCTGGAAATAATGCCAAGTAAAAGAAAACACAGTTGCAGGTCCCTATGTGGCAACCTCTTTTTCCTCATCCTACACAGTCAGATGTGTTTGTGTCCTAGTTCAACTTAATCAGGTGGCTTTCAAATGTCTTCTTCTGGAGAACATTTATGATAGCCAAGTAGTAGGTGAACTGGCAGATGTTACAGGTACTGACTGCTATTTATAATTCCCAAACACCCTTCTTGTGCATCATACATCCGTACCCATGTCTATTTACCTTTTAGTTCAGGGGCCATATACAAACTTCCAGCCCCCACTCCTGAATGAGCAGTGCAATTAGGTAAGCACCCAAAAAATGTGTTGACCTCCAATCTATTTTACTAAAATTCATTAAAACACCCGAACAGTTCCAAAAATGAGGCAGAGACTTCCAGCCCACTGGGGACATTAATTTATCAACACAAGCTGTCCCTGTCTCAAAGATCTGGCCAACCAAAAGAGAAACAAGGCAGCTCCCAGACATAAAACAGGGGGGTACGCTACCTTCTACAGTGAATGGAAAAACAAAAAAAGGCAAGATAATGTGTTGCATTACACTAGACTGAATGCAGACTTGAGTATCCTAAAAATACACCCACTGAAATCGGAAAGATACAAATTAATCATGGCCAACTTAAGTCCTATTAATTTCAATAAGTCTATTCTAGATATTATTAAGTCCAGATCCAATACAGTACTGACGGTTACCAAAACATTCACAGAGCAGCTATCTAATTTCCCACAGATAGCCATATTCAAGAAAACAGTGTTAATTTTGAGCTGTTTGGCTTTTCTGATGGAAGAGCAGATCTATCACTGACGTACAACCCAGCAGGAAGTGTTCCCAAGGGAAGATTCTTTCAACTAGGCACAAGAGAATCCCACAATGCTCTCGGCAGCATTATGCTGACTGTGCTACCTATGTGAGGAGAACCAATTCCCATGTTTCCATTCCATGCTTCACAATAAGATTGCTCTTCCCTTGTCCACAGGAGGATCAGGATGTCTCCTTCACTTTCTCTCTCGTGTTCCTTCCTCAGTAATTCTCCTTTTGCTAAAATGATCAAAGATGAGATTTTGATCCCACAGTAACCTTTATTCCTCCTTAGCCATTAAAATAGCTTGTGGATGGCTCCATTTGGTAAAGAATTTGTCCCCATTCAAAAAATGAGCTTCTGGCATCTTTACTCATGGGGATCTAGTTTCCTAAATCAGGCAAAGTAACTTAGGTAATAATCTACTGCCTAGCAACCAAGAATAAATACATGCCTTGCTACTTAGATACATGCTGTTAAGAGAATTCTGTATTATACTAACTGAGCATTAACAGTAACAATAATTTTACAGGAGATTAAAATATTCTAGCACCCTGTTGCCTATTATGCATACCTACAGGCCTAATTGTAAAATAATTGCCCACTTCTGTCCTATGAACAAATAATTGGAGAAAAACCAGAGCTGAGTGGAAGAATGCTATTCTGCTTGGCAAAGATGCTTCATTCAACCCTCAACACTTTGAGATAAAAGGATTTTAGGGTCAGATGACAGAGGAGACCTCTGCCTGAGATTCTGAAATATTAGTGGTTTATCAGAACAATATCATGGACGACTACACGAACACCCCATACAATCTCATGTAAGGCATTTTCCTGCAATTGTATTGTACACACAGATGAACTCCCCAGAAAGAAATGACTGCATGTCACTGATTACGTTATGTTAGGTACGTATTATGTAATGACATATCTTCTCATCATGCCTAGAGGAAATTGTCTTTACGTGAATATATGTACCAGGCTTCATCAAAAATACTACCCATCCAGGCTAGTTTCAACATCCAGGTAATTAATGCTTTACAATAGTGTTTCTCAACCTCAGCAATTTTAAGATTTGGGGAATTCAATTCCCAGAATTCCCCAGCCAGCATGAACTCCACACATCTTAAAGTTGCTGAGCTGAGAAACAACATCTTTCAATATTCTTTGATGAGCAGGTTGGACAGTAAAGAGATTCATGTTTCCAATGGATTCAATATGTACACTAGAGGTTCATTCTCTTACTTCTTCCCATTGCAAGCACATTATGCTATATTGGACACTGTTCCATAACCCCTGGCTTTTAGGATTTGCAGTACTAAGAAGGTAGCTACAAAACAGAAAGGTGGAAGGCAAGAACACTCTTTGAAAGAGATTGTGGCTTATTCGTTCTAATTAAGTAAATAAGGCAGCTGCATATTCATTCTATAAAAGCAACAGAAACGGATATTATTATGCCAAACAGAATGAAAAACTTACCAGTAATATATTTTGATCAGTGCTGAAGGCCACAGGAGGAAGGATGCTACAAATGCCAAAATGGGGAGAGCTAAAGTGCCTCCCGCTATTACAAACATGTTTAATACATCAAGATCCATCTTGTCTGCTTCACAGTTCTGCTTTCTTCACCTGCGTGGGTAAAAGAAGTGGAAATATACATCTTAAAGCAGCCAACAACAAAACCCTGAAGGCAAAGGTGTAGAACAGATATTGTACAGGATCTCAGGCAATACTTCTGAGCCACCCTATCGGTTCTCTTTTTCAAGTGTTCCAGGTTAATAGTAGCTTCTCCCAATTAAATTCCAGGATCTAAAAGAAAGGAGGCGACTGAGTAAAGGAGGACACTGATCCCAAAAGATATCTACAGGAGAAATACAATGACCGATGGGGACCCAATCACAGAATCAACCTGGACTGAGGATAATCTGTCGATCACTGAAATCCAAATCCATACTTTCCCACTATGACATGTCCGTTCCATTTTGGATGCAGGATTCAGCCAAATCCAATGCACAGCCAATGAAGAATTGGTAAAAACATTTACAGCCTCTAAATCGCCAGATAAAACATTAAATTATTCAATAGTTAGTTTTACTTATACCTGTACAATTACTTATTAAAGAACACACAATAGTTTGCAACATTGCATTTATGATTTACATCTACGCAATGAATTTCAAAGAAAGAGCAAGCTGTAAAAATTATCATGCAGCATTCACCACAGACCATCCACGAAACGCACGAACTTACTCTTTTAGATAACCATCTCTGAGTTATCAGATACGCTAAGAAAGCCTATCTCTAACCTGAGATGCCATATATATCCACTAAGGCATATCTAAACAAAGGCCAAAGTGCAATTTGATAAATTAAACCAAGTTACCACATATAAAACAGATGCTCAATTAAAAGAGAGTGAATTGACAAACACAGATAATGTACACCGGAATCATATCTCACTGAGGCCCCAAAAGCATTCACAGAAACAGTGGGTTTCTCTTGGAAAAGGAGAGGAAAATGCAGAGCCATGGTTCTGGGAGAGCCTCTTCTTGGCTGCAGAGACAGGTGCATGCAAAATTGCTTCTCCTAGGAAGCATCTCAAAAAGCTAATGGAGAAACAGGAAAAGAGGAACTGTCATTCAAAAGACATACGACCTTAACTTGATTCACTCATTTGGTAGATTAATGCCTGCCTTTCCAGAATGTCTCCCTAGAGAGACATGGGCAACTTCTGAAGGGTTGGGGACTGTCCTGGCTTCTCTGACCTTCTAAGGGCCACAGGAGGTTTCCCAAAATCATTGTATTGTCTCCAGAAAAAAAAATGGAGGGATGATTTTGGGGGGCTCATTTTTCAGGGATGAAGAGTGGAAACTGGAAGGGAAGGCCTCAGGGAGGCAAAACAATCTCATTCCCCTTCTTGTGCTCCACCCAGCAACCACCTAGAAGATATGTTTGTCACACTCCGTATTGATTCAAACTGAGGTTTGAGTTTCTTTTCCTAGAAAAAACATTTTAGCATTTCTTTATACATCACATTAACATTTAACAATACAGGTAGTCCTTGACTTACAACCACAATTGGGACTGAAACTTCCATTAGTTAGCAATGCAGTCATTGAGTGGTGCCCGATTTTACTACCTTTTTTTCCCATGTCATTAAGCAAATCACCATGGTCATTAAGCAAATCTGGCTTCCCCCATTGACTTTGTTGGAAGCCCTCTGAGAAGGTCACAAATAGCAATCATGTGACCCTGGGATGCTGCAACTGTTGTAAATACATGCTGGTTGCCAAGTGCCCAAATTTTGATCATGTGATCACAGGGACACTGCAACAGTAGTAAGTATGAGAACCAGTTGTAAGTCACTTTTTCCAGCACTGTCGTGACTTTGAATGGTCATTAAACGAATGGTCATAAGTTGAGGATACCTGTACACATCTTCTGTCACCTAAGCAATTCTCACTTTTTGAGTGTCCATTCCCAGAATCAAAACTATTTTACTTTTTCAAACAAAGGTTTGTATATTGCTTATATATCCAATATTTTGTATATATACACAATATAATCTCCCAACATGTGATTGTGCGACAGCTTCACAGGACTTTGGATGATGTGGATTATCTGGATCCTTTTCAGTTGGGCATCCATCCATCCTCGCCTTACTTGACCTCTCAGTGGCTTTTGATACCATCAAAATAGTATCAAACTCCTTCTGGATCAACTCAGAGGATTGGGGGTGGGCAGCACAGTGTTGTGCTGGTTCACCTCCTTTCTCCAGGGTCGATTCCAGGTAGTGGTGATTGGGAAGGAGAGATTCCGCCCTCTGCCCCTACTGTGCGGGGTGCTGCAGGGATCAGTGCTCTCTCCTCTCCTATTCAACATCTACATGAGAGCGCTAGATGAGCTCATCCATCACCATGGGGTGAGGTATCATCAGTATGCTGATACCCAGTTGGACATCTCCATTCCTGGAGATTTAAGTGATGCTATGGATGTCTTATCCCAGTGTCTGAAGGCTATGAGGGTCTGGATGGGGAATAACAGGCTTCAACTGAACACTGGCAAGACTGAGTAGCTGGGGATTCTGAGGCCCTCCAGTTCTGGGATTATACCATCGCTGGTACTGGATGGGGATGCACTGCCCCAAACAGACCCTGTGCACAACCTGGGGGTCCTCTTGGACTGATGACTCCTGCTTGATTAGCAGGTGGCAGTCGTGGCTAGGAGGGCCTTTGCACAACTTATTGTACGTCAGTTGTACCCGTTCCTGGACCGAGGGGCCTTACTCACAACCACTCATGCCCTTGTCACCTCCCAGTTGGACTACTGCAATGCGCTCTACATGGGGCTACCCTTGAAGAGTATCTGGAAACTTTAGCTGGTGCAGAATAAGCAGCGTGGGCAGTTATATATATTTCTGGTAGAACACACATTACACCTCTGTTTCACAAGCTGCACTGGCTACCAGTCTATTTCAAGATGCTGATGCTCAACTTTAAAGCCCTTCATGGCATGGGACCAGGTTATTTGAGGGACCACCTCTCCCCAATTTCATCTGCCATCCCACAAGATCTAGCAGAGTAGGTATGTTACAGTTTCCGTCATCTAGGGAGCTACATTTGGCAGGCCCTGGGCAGCAGGCCTTTTCTGCTGTGGAACCCCCATTGTGGAACCTTCTCCCCTCATAGATGAGATCGGCCTCATCACTCCTGAGTTTTCAAAGTCCCTCCAGACCTAGTTATGTTAGCAGGCCTGGGGACCTCAGGGGATGGGTGAACTTGTAAGGTGGCTCTATTATTAACATCCCTTCGCCTATTATTTTCCTTTTCTGTTTTATTTCTGCTTTTATAGCTTTTAATGTTTTTAATAATTACAATATAAGGGTTTTATGTAACAATTGTTTATATATTTTTTGTTTTATTGGACTGTTGTACACCGACCAGAGTCACTTTTTGTGAGATGGGTGGCCATATAAATTCGATTAATAAATAAATAAATAGAGCAACAGAGAAAGAGTTGAAATCGGATTGCAGTTTGAATGGGAGACTAAAACTGGAGTTGACTGAACAGAAATATACTTTGAGAAACAAATGCAGTCTTGCTGGAAATCTAGTTCAGCCAGAAGATTTGCTGCACATTTATAAGCTTATTTCTAACTTTAAGTCTCCATTTGTAAATAATAAAAGAGCTGTAAATCTCCAGTGTAGTACCTCTTATAAAAAGAGACTTCAACTGCAGGGGAGTAAATAATACGACAGAGAGAGGAGAAGACATCGTGTATTGTGCTGAAAAGAGTCATGACTCCAAATACATTTAGAGTAATACTAAAAATACAGCTGACCCACAATCCTTATTCCGTGAAGACTGAGAACAGGCATCATTCTCTGATTCCAGCCAACCAGAACACAACGCTTTGCATTAGCAGTTTCTTGCCCAGTGCTCAGGCTGTGTTACACCTGCACCTCCACCTGTATGTTCAGCAAACTGAAGGTTAAATAGGTCTATTTGAAAATCCAGAGCCAACAGGCTATGTATGGATTTAGGTTTTTCTGTTGTAAGAATTGCATGTTTCGTGCTCAGGTATGAACAGATAAATCAGGATAAGAGTTACTATATCAGGGGGTTTTAACCTGGGGTCCACAAACCCCTTGGGCATCCATGGATAGATTTCAGGGGTTGGTGAACTTGGATGGGAAAAAAACCCTTTATTTTCACTAATCACTCACTGACACTTCACTCTGTGTTCAGTAATGAACATAGGTAACAATGTTATGGCCTCTAGACTCCAAAAATGTTTTTAACCAATGAATCTCACTATAATAATTTCACATAATTTTACATATATATACTGTAACATGACTGTTATTTTTTTAAAATTTTGATAATAATTGGTTTTCTTTGTCATACTATCTATATCTATGCATTTTATTTTATAAATTAAAATTTATTTTTCTAAGAAGGGATCTCTCAAAGGAGTCCATGACAAAAAAAGTTAAGAACCCCTGGCACGTAGGACCTTTCAGCTGAATAATTACTAACTGAAAACTAGTTTACACAGACATAGCCCACAGCTTAAATGAATTCCCATCTTTACCATTCCCTGGCTTTTAATCATCCAATCTGATGTACTGATCTAAAATTCAAAAGACGATTAATTATTATGAAATTTCCCTTAGTTTACAATACTGACTTTGTCTATTTTTTTCCCCTCATGGCCAACATGGGTACTATTGCTTTTCACAAAAATAATGTCTACAGGAGGCAGAATCTTCTTCTTATATGTTCTATTTTTAACTTCATTTGCACACAAGGTATGAACCATCAATAATGAGCAAGCAGTTAAGTAATAGAAGTTATATTAACAGAGTAGAGGTTATAAACAGCAATACATATTACTGAAAAACAAAAATCAATTATGAAGCAATGGATGGATACAGAGGATGCTTTGAAAGGATAGAAAGGTATGGAGAGTTGTAAATTATGCTAATGTAAATTAGATTTATTTTTATTTTTAAATGCCTCTGGGAGGCTTACAACCAAAAACCAACTTATTAAAAGAAAAATACAACAGGAGAACCCATTTCTCTAACCTATGAAGATCATTTTGAATGCTATTTCTGTCTCCTAGA